TAGAATTTTTTAATTTATTTAATATATTTATTAAATAATATGTAAAATATTTAAATATTAAAATTATAGTATATTGTTTAATAAGAATTAATAGACGTTATAATAAAATAATTTTAAAAGTACAATACTATAATAAGAAAATCGCTGTGAACAATTTATGTAGACATTAAGATGGCATGAAAACTTGATATAATGAGTAAATTTAAATCAAAAAGTTATTCAATGTTATAATGGGTAAAAAATTTAAAGTATAATATTATAATAAAAAATAGTTTGGAAATACATTATTATGATAAGAAAAATAGAAAATACAATAGTATAATAAAATTTTTTATAAAAATAGATTATTATTTTATGTATCGATTAAAACAAACATTTGCAATAATTGCTTTATTAATATATACTTAAGTTAATGGAAAACTAAACAAATATATATCGAAATGGAAGGCTCGTGACCCTATAAATTATGTATGTGATGCCTTTTTGATTGGTCTAAGGTCTTTGTTGATGTAAGTTTATTACCCAAAACTATCTTCAATTCTTCTTTAATATTATAAAAATAATAAAATAATATATTTTATTATATTAATATATTATTGAGGTTTTTGAGATCAATTTTAAAGTGTTGGTTTTATATTACATTTCATGTTTAATTGTTCAAAAGCTGAATTGATTATTTATTATTATATTATAAAATATTTGATAAAAAAATTTAAACATTATTTTTATGTTTGAAGTATTGTTTATTTATACAATTTATTTAAAATTAAATATTAAAAAGTAAATTATGATATATAATCAATTTAAAATTGTTTTAATCAATTATATTTTGAAATACTACATCTAATTAATTTTTCAAGATGCCCTTTTTGGTTATTTTATATTATTGTTTGCTAGTTTTTTCAAACATGATTTATTCATCAGCTAATTTATCAATCATCAACTAGCTTATTAACTAGTTTGCCAAATAACCATTTAAATAAGAAAAAACCCTTTGATGATACTTGAAATTTACTGTAATTTGTGTATCTAGTAAAGTAACTTTTAGAAAGGGGAGTGCCATTAATAGGGTTGTTGAATACTTTGGAAATGATCCTCTTAAAAAAATATTATATATTTTATCATTTTTATTTTTATATTTTATATAGTAATATATATATATATATATATATTATTCTTTATATATTATTATTTTAAGTTATGTTATATAT